AGTAGGTGATGGAGGGATGTTATCTACCCCCATGGAAGGTGTGTGAGGAGGGGGGTGTTGCCTATCTTCTCTACCACCTCTCCCCTCCCCACCCTCCTCCCCATATGGAGGAGAGTGAACCCGTGTTGGGTTGGGGTAGCGACTGTGTCCCAGGCAGGAAGGATGACAAAAAGTAACCTTCACAGCAAGTAGGGGTGACCAGATTAGAGGGAGAATGACCCTGGAGCCAGTGAGTCTGTTCAACCCTGGCTTGCAGTCACAGCATGTGTGTTTTATTCCCCTTTGCTACAACCAATAACTCTGGAAATGGATTTCACAGTCTTGTAATCCTCTTTAAACACATTTTCTTGCTCAATTACATGATTGACTGTTTCTATTTATTCTGGCCCACTCCTTCAAAATTATATATGCTGCTATCGAATTCTTCCTGTCTCTTCAGATATTGCGTCCTTCTTGACCTGCCTTTGACATAGTGAACCATCTTCTAATGACTCTCATTGGTTACCCATCTAAAAATGCACATACCTGGTTCCATTCTAATCTGTATATTTATAGTCAGAGAATCAATCGCAAGTATTCCATTCCCATTCCCTGACTTTTACCCTCTGGAGTTCTCCAAGAGTCTAGCCATGGCCCCCATCAGTTTTTCACGTACATGATGCCTCATCCAAAAACTAATGTCAGGTTTCACATTGTTCTCCAGCTCAACAACATCCCTCTCAAGCCCTCCTATAAGTTGTCAAATATCTGTCCAACATCCAGTACTGGATGTCAGAAATTTTCTCCAACCAAATATTAGAGAGATGTAAACCATAGTATACAAGCTGCATTGCCTAGCCACCAACTCCAACCACCTCTATGGTAATTTTCCAAGCTGAACCATCTTAATGCTATATTTGACTTCAAGATAAGCTTCTGATTACTGTGTCAGCCGCTGCTCACTTGGTAGCAAACTTGTTTCTGAATTAGAATGTTCTGGGTTTATGTCCTATTCTAGGATTCAAGCACATAAATATGACACTCTAGTGCTGTATTGAGTGGGTCTTTAGGTTTATGTGTTTCAACTGTAGTTCTGTTTACCCCCTCTGGTGGAGGTTTCAAAGAGGATAGGCGGGATTACCTCCATTTTCTTGGCCAATATTTATTCATAAAAAATTACAAAACCAGATTATCTGGAGCTTGCTGTACCCTTTTCTGATGAAGGGTCTAGGCCCGAAACGTCAGCCTCTCTGCTCCTATGATGCTGCTTGGCCTGCTGTGTTCATCCAGCCCTGCACCTTGTTGTCCCAAACTGACTGCTGTGTTTCCTACATCAGTGACTGTTTTTCGGAAGTATTTTATTTGCTGTATGATGTTTTGAGATGCCTTGTAGCCATGAAAATTGCTGTATTAATAGGATTTTATTTAAAAATCTGTGCAAACTCTGAGACTGCCTACTTCCACCACTGTCACATCACCTGACTTTGTCTTTGCTTAAGCTCAACTGCTGCTGAAATCCTCTTTAATGTCTTTGTTATCTTTTACAATTGATTGTGTCCAACATTCTAAGGTTTGAACTCGCATTTACCACCCTCCACAAATTTAAGATCATCCAAAGCTCGTGTCTTAATTTGCACCAAGTACTGTTCTCCATTCCTGTGCTTCAGACCTACATCGGCTTCTGTTTAGAAACATCTCAGTTTTAAAATTCTCATCTTTGTTTACAAAACCCTCCCTGATCTTGCCACTCCTGATCTCTGTAATCTCTTCAGCCCCGCAACCCATTTCGATATTGGTGCTTTTTTTGATTCTGGACTCTAGAGCAAATCAAATTTTACATGCTGACAGTATTACAGGTTGACAGTTGTACCTTCAGCTGCCAAGACCCCAAGTTCTCTAATTCCATCCATAAGCCACACTGCCTCTTGTTCTTTTTTTCTGCCTTGAGATCTTCTTTAAAACCTAAGCCTTTAACCAAGCTTACAAAGCTCGGTGTTTGATAATGCTGCTGTGAAATGACTTGACATTTTATCACATATCATTGATATATAATACCTGTAATCAATACTGACCTGCCCACCATACCTGCACTTGCCTCCAATTTTTCTTGTTGATTAATTCAATCACCCTGTCTGAATACGTTATAACACATCTCTGGAGTAGATGGGACTTGAACCCAAGCCTGCAGGCCCAAAGGTAGGAACACTACTGCAAGAGAACCTGATTTTTTTTTTTTAATCAACTTGTTCATGTATTTTATGACACATCTCTGAAGCAAGTGGGATTTGAAACTGGGCCTCCTGGCTCAGAAGTAGGGACATTACCACTGCTCCACCAGTCCTCAAGGTTTTCTTTGTTTTCTAAATGTGCCAATTGTTCACAGATGGTTCAGACAGCATGAATACATCGAGAAGCTGAATATGCAGGCTATCATCAATGCCACTGCTGACCAGGATGAATTTGTCAAGGAAACCATTTACTCTCATGCGAAGGTAGTATTTATTAAACAAAAGACACAAGTAATGTTTTGTTGCCTGACTGATGGTCAGATTCTGACAACAGCTGTACACCAATGATTCTTTTTAGATTCCGTTGTTAGGTGTAGCTTTATGTGTTTTTCCATGGATTCGTATGCAACAGGTTATCAGACAATTTGCATCTGAAAACCTGATCTGTCTATTTTTGTTTTCGATGGGCTTGTACTGTCTTTCAACATCTCCAATTTCAGATATCCAGCCTTAACTACGTGGAAGCAAAATGGCCTGCGGTTTTCCTATTAAGTATTTACGCTGGTTGTATTGTCAGTATCTGGATCTCCCATAAAGGAGTCAGTAACCATGTCTTTAAGGGTTCTGCCTTGTCCGCTAGGATCCATCCACACACAATGGGTGTTGGAGTGAATACCTTCTACCTGTAGAGTTGTGATCTCCTGTGGCACTGATTCTTGATCATCCCCAAGTAACTCTGTCTTTAAATCCTGTGATGAGGGCATGATCTTCTGTACTTCCTGTTCCTCCTTTCCTTCCTGTACCCATCTGATGCCTAAGGAACTTAGCTTTCTGTGGAGGGTGTTGCCCTCATTGCCATTGACCCCAAAGTCTTACAATAATTTCCCCATTGTTACAGAAGCTTACCTTTTGAGCAATTGACTGCCCAGTTGTCCTTGGCAGCCCTATCCTTGTTTTCTGCTAATGTGATGCCAAAGGCTGCCAACTCCATTTTGTCCATCTCTGTGTATGCAGCATGAAGGGCATCCTTTTACTAAGTTTCCAAGTCCCCTTTGCCCTCCTGTGAGGCTGGGTGATGCCTTGGAGCAACCTTGACTGACTCCTCTCTACAGTATAGTTGCTTCTTGTGTGTTTAGAAACTGTCAGCTTCTGAAACACATGGACCCTTTTAAATATTACATCCTCGACCTTTCTAAATAAATTTTTTACCAAATTTAATCAATATCACTGTGGAGGATTGCAACAATCCTGCCCTGCCTTTCCCTCACCCTGGTGCTTATTGCTGGTCTCAGGATCATGCTTTGAAATTGATACAGCCTCGAAAATACATTTGTATCTCCATTCCTCTCCATGATAGGGTCAGAAAATTCAGCCCATAGTTCCCTAAAAAACTAATGCAGCACAGGCAACTCAGGAAATGGTTGGAGCAAGTAATAGTTTCATAGAAAAATGCTTATACAGGCATCAAGATTGAAAAAGATCAGGATTAATAGCCAGCTGATTTGCAAATGCCAAAATCTGTTTCATTCTGTTGCGTGTTGCTCCTTCTTTCCAAAGAAATGCTGGTTTGTTTAGTCCTAGATCAGCACTGACTCTTGCTGTCATCTACACTGAGCGTACTTCAGGTACTAAAATTGTAAATATTATGAGCAGTGAATGTTTATAAATTCAAGCTTTCTCATCAGTGCTGAAAACAGAGGGGTTAAACTAACCAGTATCAGAGGAAAAAGGGCCTGTGTCTTCTGATCCCACATTAAGATTCCAGGTTCCTGACCTGTTGGAATATGAATTATGATGCATAGCCTCTTTAATATATTGCCTTCCTGCTGCCTAATCCTTCCACTGATTTGTGTTGCTACGAAATGTTATAGCTGTCATTTATATATTGATTTCATTGCAGGTCCCCACACTGATTCATGAACTCCTTGCCATAGAGGTCTGGAAGCAGAAAGTGTTTCCTATATTGTGTCAGCTCCAGGATTTCAACCCAAAGAGCACTTTCCCTATATATATTGCGGTGAGTGAAAGTTCCACTGAATTTCTTCACAATCAGAGTTTCAATGACTTGAATTCTGCCCATGTTAATTTAGAACTGACTATCCAACGCTGCTGTAGGAAAATTTGGAAGTATACCAAACACCAGGAGGTATATTTCACCCACTTCCTTACAGACTTGAGGAAAAACAAATTAAAGGGAGAAGGATAAAGTTCTTCCATGGATGAGGTATTCTTAAACTACACACAAGACAGCATTTTTTATAATTTCTAACCATAGATTAATAGTAAAATGGTCCTGAACATCCGAAGCATAAAGTCTATCAAATCAATCTAATGGTAGTTGTAGAACTCTACATTTGACTGACAGGAGGGGAGGTGTGTAAGACATTCTCTTGTTGCACAAGGTACAGAATATAAAAGCAGGGAGGGCACAAAGATTTACCAGGATATTGCCAGAAATGGAGAATAGTAACTATGAAGATAAAGTAGATAAGCTAAGGGTATTTTCTTTGAAATACAGGATGCTGAATGGACATTTAATTGAGATGTAAAATTTGAGAGACCAAGATAGTTGGAATAATAAAGCCCTATGATTTTGCTTAGCAGCAACGTCCTAGGGGACATAGATTTAAAATAATTGGCATTGGAATGAAATGACTTCACAAAGGCCAATATCTTGTCACCAAGTCACCCTTTACATGTGGAGAGTCCTTGACACTGATCAAGCTCGCTCAAACTGATCTCTGAGTGAACAGGATGTCTGATACTCCCATTCTTATCTGTCAGCCAGGGCTCCCTGATTGGGGCTGTTGATCTGGTCCAATCAGGAAACTGATATTCTGTGATATCCAGCTGGATGACCTCATTACAATCACGACAAGGATAAAGAGGGGTTGAGAATTTATTTCGTCCAGGGAGTGACAAAGGTGTGGAACTCCCATCAGCATTGGGAGTAGAGGCTTTAAAAATTATACATGAGCATACACTTGAAGTAGGGAACAGACGAAGAACTGGAGAGTAGGATTAGGTTGAACTCTTCTTTGGTTGGCACATGCATGATGGGCAGAATGGCTTCTTTCTGTGTAATTATTTTTCTATATCAAAACAAATTTAATATACCTTTGCAGTTTAATACATCATGTGAAATGCTACGACACATTGTAGGTGAGATGTAATTTTATTATTACGTATGATCAGTATTCATACTGCGGCACCAAAGGGACTGAGTAAATTTAAAATTGTGGGTGGTAGGGCAGTGCCCTAATGGCTGCAGTCATACCTAACCCAAAAGAAGATGGTTGTTGTTATTGGAAACCTCATTTTAACTGTAGCCTCGACCATCTTGAGTTGCTTCAACAATAATTTTTCCTTCATCAAAAATAGAACAGTGTTCAGTTCCAATCACAATTCATCAGATAATGTAACAGTCTTGTCCCCACACAGCAGACATAGTCAGTATCTAGTCTGGACTGATAAGTAGCAAGTAACTTGCTACTTAAGTTTCAGGCAACGATCAGCTTCAACAAGAGAGAATATTCGAGAGACACAGGAACAATGAAGAGCATTTCAACTTCTTGAACCAGTATCACCATTCAATTGCATTATGACTGATCTATACCTTAACTCTGTCAGCCTGAATGGCTTCATATCCTTTCATACTCATGACTAGTAGAAAACTCTCAACCTTTCGATTAATAATTGTAAGGTTGCATTAACACCAACTGTGGTGGGAGTTCCACATTTTTCTGATCATTTATGTGAGGAAGTATTTCCCAACTTATCCCCTGAATGACCTGATTGTAATTTTAAGATTGTTTTCTAGTTCTAGAACTTCCCACCAGCAAAAACACTTCCCTCTATGCACCCATTAATTCTCTTCAAAAACTAAAAACCTCAGTCTATTCACCCCTTAACCTTCTATATTCCAGGACACATGGGCAGCAAAAAACATTGTATGATTTCAAGAAGGAGTTGATATCGTATTTGGGTCAAAAGGGATCAAAGAATAAGGGAGAAAAATGGGAACAGCCTATTTTGTTTGATGATCAACCATGATCATAATGATTGACACAGCAGACTGAAAGGGCTGAAAGGTGTATTCCTGCTCAAATTTTGTTTTTATAAGTCTTGTTAAGACTGTACAAGGCACTAGCTAGGCCATATCTCGAAGGCTGAACAGTGTTGGTCCCCTTGCCTAAGGAATTATATAGTGGCATTGGCAGCAGTCCAGAGAAGGTTCACGAGGATCTTTTCTTATGAAAAGAGGATACGTAGCTTGGGCCTGTTCTCATTAGAGTTTAGAAAAATGAGAGGTAATCTTATGGAAACATGGAAGATTCTCAGGAGGCTTGACAGGTTAGTTGTTTCACTTTGTAGATGGGTCCAGGACCAGAGGACATAGCCTCAGAGTAAGGGGGTCGCTCAGTTAGAACAGAGGTGAGTAAATTTTTCTTTCTTTACCCGAGAGAGCTGTAGAGGATGCTCATTAAATATATTCAAGGCTGAGATAGACAAATTTTATAATTAGCAAAGGAGTTAAGAGGAAAGACAGGAAAGTAGAATTGAGGATTATTTGATCAACCAAGAAAGGCAAATCCAGATTGCCTACTTCTGCTCCTGTGTCTTATGGTCTTTTGTTAAGCTTGTGTTTTAAGTGAATTGATGCAAGTTTCAGAATTTTTTTCAGAATATTCTATAAATTGAATAAGCTGGTTCTCTAAATGCAAGGGTATGATTTACACACTTGCTTGATTTAAAGGTATTTGCAAAAATAATGACTACAAATTAGGGAATGACTACTGTGCAACTAGAAATTGTAATTGCAATAGGTAATTGGAGAATCGTCACAGTGGAAACCTCACTTGTGAGCCGCAGTTCACTTATTATGTTGTTTGACATTTTTGTTTCAAGTTGATTTTTTCCTTTTAGCATAACCATGTAACATGATAACGTCATCACATAATCTGTTAGTTAAGCTTTGTAATAAAAAGGTAGAAGCTATAAAGCCAGTGCAATTCAGCTCTCCACTCATGAACCAAAGAGAGTTAGATCTTGCTATTCAGTATGCATTGTGTGGGTGCAACCTAAGTCTAGTTTCACTCTGAACAGACACTGGCTTTCAACCATCACAACATGGTGATTGGCAGCATTTCAGGTCTTGATGAACTGACATTTACACACACCACAGACAACTTCTCAAATATCATTTATCAATGTTCGAGCTATTAATGTATTTAATTTTTCATACAGAGAAAAGCTTTGCTATTATTATAAAATACTTCCCAGTGACAGAATGTTCATGTTGGCTCTCTATTTCCGAATATTGGGTGAACTTGATATGTGACTATCCTATTTTCTATATAGATTCATCATGAAGCAACCATCATTAACCTCCTAGAAACTATTCTTTACCATAAGGTAGGTATATTACACATTTCAATTGAACTAAATGTTCCAAAAACAAATTTTAGTAATCATGAGTGTTTAATCGTTCATAGTTGTTCACAAAAATGCTCATTATCATTCTTTTACTTTTGAAGATCATGCAAAATATGAAAATGTCATTATAACTTTGGTTTTTAAAAAATGCTCCTGAAGGATTTGAGAAATGCTGGAATACTGATAAAGATAAAATTGGTCTGTGCCAGCTGCATGAAGTGAGCTCACAGCAATCAGCAACTAATATTTCATCATTCCAATTTTAATTTTCCATTGATTTGGAAAATATTGCAAAGAGTTATAATTTCAACCTAAATAAAAGCAGCAGTAAGACCAAGAAAATGAATCCCTAAGAAGAGTTTGAAATAACATCCCATGAACTTCAATAAAAAGAAAATTGGATATGGTGAAAAATTGGCTGCTGATGCACTATCTGTTTTGCACTGCTGGCAAGAACCACTCTAACCCCCGCAATGTTTTATGAGACTCTGTAAACAGTGGTGTAAGTTACCATTGACCAAAACACATTGCAAATAGCATAACAACATAAGAAACATGAGCAGGGGTTAGCAATTTGGCTCTTCAAGCCTGCACTGCCATTCAGTAAAATCATAGCTGATCTGCCTCAGGCTTCAGCTCTTCTTTTCTGCCAGCTCTTCATATTCCTTTAACTTCCTGATATTTCCCTCCTGTTTAAATACTTTGTGATCCAACCTCCACAACTCTCTGGCATACGGTTTTCCAGACATTCACTACACTCTGGGAGAAGAAATTCTTTTGCATCTTCATTTTAAATGTGTGTTACCCTTATTTTCTAATTATGTCCCCTACTAAAGATTCAAGCTTTTCGTACTAGTGGAAACATCACAACATCTCCTCTGTCAAGCCCCCTTAGAATCTTAAATAAAATCCGACATTGAAGGAGGAACTCAGCAGGTCTGGCAATATGTGACGAGAGGAAAAAAAAAGTTAACTTTTCAAGTCCTGTCACTTTTCTTTGTTTTATTCTCCTCAGAATCTTGTATATTTACTTAGGTTCAACTTAAACATCCAGAAATGGAATTTGATTGTTGTTTTCTTCTGCCCTTGTGATGTTAAATTTGTGCATATGACCAACGGGGAGTTCCAACCTCAGTTTACAGAAAAGCAACCCATACTGATCAAATCCTCAATTTCCATAAACAAAACTGCATTAGGACACCATGAAAACGGGCCAGGACACACTGTAACACCCCGGAACTATGCAGGAAAGGGGAAGAGCATCTATATTAAATCCTCATTATAAATGGATATCCCCACAATTTCATCCGCAGATTCCAATTAAACAGACAAAAATGGAGGACACAGTACACCCTAACACACTGGCCACACTGCCATACATGAAGAACATATCAGAACTGACAACAAGACTCCTAAGACCACTAGGAATCATGGTGGCACACGAGCCCACAGCCACTCTATGATAAACACTTACAAGGATTAAAGACCCCATTCCCACAACATGCAGAACCAATGTGGTTTACAAAATACCATGCAACGACTGCCACAAATATTACATTGGACAAACAGGAATGAAACTAGTCATCAGAATACATGAACATCAACTAGCAGCAAAACAGCACGACGAACTCTCCTTAATATCGGTACACTCGGACAAAGAAAGCCATCAGTTTAACTGGGATAAGGTAACCATAGTAGCCCAAGCCGAACATAGACACGCACGGGAATTCCTAGAGGCATGGTTCTCCACCCATGATGCAATCAACAAACACATATAATTGTACCCCATATACAAGTCCATACAGATCAAAACCGGAAATGCCACTACTCATCATAATGGACCAAACAGTATAAGTTTCAAGTGGAGTAGAAGAACACGGCTTCATCAGAGGCTCCACTGATGATGTCACCTCGCATGGTGATGAAACGTCTGAACCTGAACAAGCCAGCTCGGCAAGCAAGTCAACAACCTCGTTTATGAAATCTGCCATCTCTGCAAACTTGTCACCCTAAGGCAAAGCGATTGGAACATTTAACAATTTTTTTTTTTTTTCTTTTGCTTTTCTTCTATGGTCAAATATTGTTCAACTGTAGGTGCTGTTGCCCACCAAACACATCTTCTGAAAACTTTTCAGTGGGAACATTTCTGCAAAGAGGAATGAATCCCTTCATGTCTAATTCTCTTTGTTCCCTGAATCTGTAAGATTCTGTAAGAAAATCAGTCATTTTCTTTACTCACTAACAACATTACAAAGGCCTGGCTTGTCAAGTGATGCAATATTATCTTTTTGATAACTGCACCATGATGAGTGATGTTACTGTGAAAGTAATGGACTTCCAAAGCCTCTTATGATTAGGCAAACAGTTCTTTTAAAAATATGTTTGACCTGCCATTTTTCAGACCTGTTAATAATATGTTCAGGCAAACAAAATTTACATTGCTAGTTTGAATCATTTATCTAGTGTGAACCATTTATCTGAAATGGCTTCATGCCTCTACCCAATTAGAAAATCAAAAAGATTTATACAAATGCATCAAATATTTGACATGTGACTAGCAGTAATTGGTAATTTGACAGTAATTTCTATTCAAAATTATTATTTTTTTGAAGTATGAATTTACAAACTCACCACAACCCAGGGGTTGAACCTGGGATGTTCCTGATCTGTTTGATCTCAGCATGGTGATGGGTGAGGTATTCATCCACTGAGCTCTGTTTTTTGACTTAATTTGACCATATATACCTTTTTCAACCACTATTAATATAAAGTTTCTTTCTATTTTCTTCTATGTAGGATGTATGTGATTCTGCAGATGAAGCGGTTCTGGACCTTGCTGATTATTGTCATAGAAAGGTGACCCTTCTTGCTGCACGAAATGATGACCCTGAAAATCAGGAACAGAACAAACCATCGCCAGCATCCCTAAAGGTATGATACAGAGTCACACCACTGTTGATATGACATTCCAATTTTATTTATTCTCTCATGTGATATAGGCATTGCTGGCTGGCCAGCATTTATTAAATGTCTATAGTTGCCCTTGAGAAGGTAGTGGTGAGCTGCCTTCTAGAACCGCTGCAGTCCATATGCTGTAGACAGATACACCATGCCATTAGAGAGGGAATCCCAGGACTTTGACTCAGCAACAGTGAAGAAGCAATGGTATATTTCAAGTCAGGATAGTGAGTGGCTTGGGAGGAGAACTTGCACTTGGTGGTGTTTCCATGTATCTGCTGCCCTTGTTCTTCTAGATAGTAGTAGTCATGGGCTTTGAAGGTGCTGTCTAATTTGGTGAATTGGTGATCAGATTGTATTAACGTGATTCAATGGCCAGAATGGAGTTTATTTTACGAACCCTGTAAAGTTAGTAAACGTTTTAAAAATAAGTGAACAATTCAAAGGAAAACATGGCATGATTTCATGTTTTAGGACTTTTACTCAAACAAATGCATTTAAAATCAACCTAGACTAAACATTACTCAGCAGGAAACAAAACATTAGACACAGGAACTGTATTTGTCTTTAGCTTAGCGCAGTTATTAACTTCTTAATATAACATGTCTATAATATAGTGGACTGATGGCAGAAATGTAGTCTTGTGTTTAAAATATCAGGTTTCTCTTGGCTTTAACAGGGTCTGTTGTCCCTGCTCCACCAGGTTGAATCTTCTATTGCTCTTTTAAACAATGTGCCTTCAGCCAATTTTCAGAGTAGCATCAAATGGACTTGCAGTAGTAAGGTGTATCTGATGATTCCTTGATTTTAAGCACTCTGCCATCCTATTCCCTGTAACTGTAGTTCTGTGCTCACTAGTACTTTGTGATTAGCCCAAAACAGTCATTTTCTTTTACCTGGCACAGCAGTACCTGGTTGGTGGTCTTCCACGTATCCGTCTGCCTGACTTCTCCTAAGAGTCTGTATGCAGCAAGGCAGCTGCTTTCTCCTTTCTATTGAGGTGTGTTAAAACTTGCACTTGATTTTAGATAAGTTTCAATCTGAGCTTCTGTCTCCATAATAAGCAGGTCATATGAATTTGTTTCCAAGTATATTCAATGTAAGGTTATTTGCACTTGTCTCTGGGCAGATCCCATATGAAGTGCCATTCTCCTCTCCAAGCTACTGAATTTTATCTTGAATTAAAAAACAGTTTATAAAGTCCAGCATTCATATAATTCCTTTGTCAGTTGTTCTTGAATGTATCTTTTAATGAGGCAATGTAATGTACAACTAAAAACATTAAGATAGTTGTTATCTTGATTGGAAACTTATCTACCCTGTGGTCAGTCCTTTTCAAAATTTGGTGCAGGACATTACAAGTCCAAGGAATGCCTGAATGGAATCATAATGTACACAAAATATTTATTTTAATATTTCAGATTCAAATAATAATAATAACCTTACATCATTTATTTCATTGACTAATAAGTATTTTGAACTGATTGGCAGGTTAGGGCCTTAGAGGCAGAAACATCAGTGACATTCAGAGTGCCACTGTTTGGTGCAGAGAGGCATTTAATTTTGATGGGCAGAATGACCATTTGTCAGCCCTAGGTTTTCTTATGAACATACTATTTCTTTCGAGTTTCTCTCATTTATTAGAATCCCTAGATTTCAGACTTGGCTGAACGTTGTTATTGTAGCTGCTAAGGTATAAAATTGCAGATTGAATCTCAATCCAGCATTTGAGTAAATAATCTCAGTTAATATTTCAGTGCATAATTGAGGAGTATTGCGTCTGTAGAAGCTGCCATCTTTGGGAATGAAATATTAAATCAAAGCTTTGAAACTCAAAACATTTTGAATCTCTGAAGTACAAAACAATGGTCCCGTCACAGTTCAGCTGGGACCAGTAGCACTGATGCCACTTTCCCCTGTATTCATGCCAGAGCTCCATAAATTAGAACATGTTTCCCCTACACCAATCTTTCAGCCACACATTAATTCTGTAATCTTATTTGGCCTATGCCGTTGGCTCGCCTATAGAATATTACTTTTGAAATTTTGATTCTTAATTTTGTGCCTAGTTCCCAATTCTACCTATACAGAACTTCTTCCTGTCCTGCCTATTTTCTTGATACTTAGATGGATCATGATGACTGGATCCTCCCCATTCCACGGCAAGTCCTTCTCCAGCCTGAGCAGATGTCCCAAAACAACTTTCTGGGCTCATGGATTGAATCTCTGCTTTCACCTGCTGCTCAGGACCTAGGCAAAGATGTTGTTTGATTGGAAAGGATTCTCTTATATTTACATCCTGTATAACTAAGGTTGTGTGAGGTTTTAACGTGCTCCTGGGCCACTCCCAGAGCAAGGTATGTAATTTAACATAGATGATTCGTCCCCTTTTCTCCAACAATCTTTTCCTTGATTAGTTTCAGAGGACCTCTTCCTTCACATTCGTGAACATATTGAAAGGACTAAAACCGGTGAGCTCTTTAGTTGAATCCCAAGTTGTAAACAAGAGAAATTCAGCCCTTTTGACCAGTCAAAGGGATACTCATGGCAATATGTCCTGATATTGTCTTGAAGATCTGATGGGGTTGCCAAAAGCTTCTTGTGCCTGTGGGTGGTAGACTGAGTGCTTTAGTTGTGTTATACCAATAATCTTGGACATAAAATTGGTACCTCAAAATGACTGGATCTCAGCTATTGATCCATTTTCAATAAAAGTGTGGAATTCTTCACCACTACTTTAGCAGAACTAGTTCTTTGGGGAATGGTCTCCGAGAACCAGGAAGCCACATCTACGATATTGAAGATATACTGCTGGCCGCATTTGGTTTTTGACAGGTGTCCTACACAGTTAACCATCACCCTGCTAAATGATTCCCCAAGAACTAGTATGGGAATGAAGGGGCGTTTGTTTTATTGCAGGCTGGGGCTTTCCCATAATCTGGGCAGTTAGGGATGGGCAATAAATGCTGCCTAGCCAGCGACGCCTTCATCCCGTGAATGAATAAAGGAAAAAAAAATGTTAAATGCCGATAGGATGTTCTCCCTCATTGGAGAGTTTGGGACCAGAGGGCATAGTCTCAGAATAAAGAGATGCCAATTTAAGACTGAATGGAGGTGGAGTTTCTTCTCTGAGAGTTGAGTCTTTGGAGCACCTTACCACAGAGAGCTGTGAAGGCTGAGTCTTCTCATATTTAAGGCTGACTTCTGATATTTATGGCTGCGGTGGTTAGATTCTTGATCATTAGGGGAATCAAGGGTTATGTAGAAATGCAGAATGGTGGATATGAGGAATGTCAGATCAGCAATGATCCTGTTGAATGGTGGACCAGGCTCAAGGGATGAAATGGTCTACTCTTGATTCTATTTCTTGTGGTTTTATGATTATTCATGGATTGTCCTAAATGTTGCTGTATTGCTGAAGTTACATTGCGCACAAAAGCTGCTGGCATGGGATGTCTTCTTGGATTAGCAGTGGGTAGCTGAATTAACGTTTTCGGAGACATTGATTGTAGGGCTGCAGTGACTTTTTGGCTAAATCTGAGTTGCATCGATTTTTTTTTTTTTCCGGACAGATTTCCACTGCAACACCTGGTGAGTTTTCCTGCTGTGTCTTACCAAAGCTGTCTTAACTGTTTAACCTGCCCCTGTGACATGCCTCCTCTCTGATTCTGGCCCCATCTTACCATGCCCCATTCCCAGAACAACTTGCCACTCAGCAGATACCCTGGAATGTACTCTTGTACCTGCACCATTTTTAAAAGCCCATTGTGAAGTTGTGTAAGTACTGCCAGTGCAGAGCTGCTCTGCTCCATTTGCTCCAGTCATGAAAAATGGGGGAAAATCACTGCTCCACTGTGTAGGCAGAGACCTAGAGGTCCTGATCAATGTGTTGGTGATGACACAGGACTTCGTTTTCCTGAGGACAAGCAGTGAAAGCCATGACATTAGATTATGCCACCTGCGAAGAAACAGTTTAGGCCATCTGGAGGGATGTACAGCAATGTAGGTCAACTGTCTACTCCATTCTGTCTCTAAAACTTCTCTCTCTCTCTCCCTCTCTATCTCTACTACTGTACCCAACCCTAACCAAGGTTCATGCTCCACCACTTTCACTTTTGCATGCAACATCTTGTCTTGCGTTCTGTCACCCAGCTCAACCCCTAGTGCCATGAACCCTGCACAGCCTCTGCTTTGCTTACTTACTCACTTGGAGCATCTCCATACCTTCCACAAAAGTAACAGCTGTACCACCTATTTTTATCTCTCTTAATACCTGTCTCTCATTCCAGGAGGAAAACAGCCTACAAAAAGGCAGAAAGAGTCCAGATGGGATATTGGCTGCCCAAACATGCGTCTCCTCATCCCTCGTATGAGAGACCAATCTGAATCTGATCACCCTATTCTAAGCCCCTGGACAGGAATTGGAGGCTGTCCTTGACTTACTGTGCTGAGACTACTTGATTGATGGCTATTGTTCTTGACTGAGGTCTGCTGACAGCCATAATAAGTCTCCTTCCTTTGTCTGTGCTAAACAGCAAGGCAAGACAGAAGGACTATGAACCTGGTATCTCTGACTGAGTGAGCAAAGCACATAAAGACAAGATGAGGTAATGCAAGGCAGGGATGCTGTGAGCATCCAGATAGGCCCAAATTGAGTGAGCACTATGAAAACAAGCAAAGAGCCGGGAAATGCAGCCTGTCCAATTCATGATCTCTGTTCTTGTTGCTGAACAAACAGTGTCCTGTGCAGCATTACAATGATTGTTGCAAGTGCAGCATTGAAGTGCTGAAGCGTCCTGTAAGTGGATCAGTAATATCCCATGAGGGTTCTTTGCTGGCATATTTGTATGTCAATGTCTGTGGACCTAAGATTGCTCCAAGTTGTTGATGTCCGGTGTCCAACAAGGAGGTCTTTCAGAGCAAGCAGTGAGCTGTGTCCTCCAAGTATGCATTCTAGTTTCCCTGTCAAGTTTTCTCGATGTTTAAAGACAATAAAGTTGCAGATGCTGGAAGGCAAGGTAGACAAACAGGAGGCTGGAAGAACACAGCAAACCAGGCAGCATCTTGAGGAAAGGAGAAGTCAACGCTTTGGGTATTACCCTTCAGGACTGATGTTTAGCTTGTTTGCCTTCTTTAATGAGACAGAGATGAATATTAATGAGGTCAGTTGGCTGTCATCAAGAGACTTAACAAGCGATTATCACCTTAACTGACAATTCCCTGCTGCTCAGCATGAAACATGCTACACTACTTGTGAAACATATAAAAGATGGAAAGAGATGCTCCTGATGTAGAAATTGTCCTCCCCAGACTGTTGTCCTGTTTTCTCGGTGGTAAAGCTTGCAGCTAACTTGATTTCTCACTGAACAGTGGTTTTTCAACAGCACTGATTTCTAAGATTGAGAGACAGGCAGAGCAAGAGAGGGAATGAGATAGTGTCTTCCAGTTCTTGCCTGCATATCCATTTCTCATTGTATCTGCTTTACTGCTCCAAGCAGCTATTAACATTGATCGATGTGCATATTCCTGAATCGACTCATTGCTTCTCTGAGCAAGCTAGCTAACTGACAGGCATGCCCTTCACCTAAACATATGTTAAATTATCACGCAACTGTGAGTAAAACATGAGATGCAAATTTCTTAATGCTTTGCTGAGTTTTGGTGTCTCCTGATTTAAATGGTAATTCAGATGTAGCTAGTTTTGTATATTCCATGTGGGTTGTCTGGGCTTGTCAGGTGATCACAGCAAATAATTTAGGTCAGTAATGTCCTTTTCAACCATTTTCAATCTATAAAAGCTTGGGTATTTAAAATCAAATGATGAAAAATGAATATTGACAATTTTTGCAACTATGATAAAGTTGCCATAGTCCTACCAGATCACAGGGCTGCTCTCTCATTAGAGAGGAACAGTTGGTGATGGTTTAACCTAAAGGTCACCATTCCTCGGGTGAGCCGAGAGATTGAGAAGGATCCTCTTTTATGGTAACCTCAGCTGGTGCAGGAATTGAACCCAAGCTGATGGCATCATTCTGCATTGTAAACCACCTATCCAGGCAACTGAGCTAACCAACCGCCACTACATTGGTACACTAAAGTGTAAAGATTTTTCCACATAGAGATAAACTCAGCTAATATTGCATTCCATAAAATGTTTGTTGTTCTGTACTGCAGTTGTATTTCTAGTTGTAAACCTCTTCACAGTTCCTTATCTTTATCCACGTTTTTGATTTGGAATGAACTGAAATGGTATAAACTGCTATTGCCAGGAGCCTAGCCTGTACACTGTCTACTTTATATAGATGCAGAACACAGTTTATTTTCAGTCCCTTAATCTAAATTACACAGTTTTCTAAATCTAGCAAGAAAGAAGAAAAGAAAGCCACCTATCTCCCTCTGCGTCAAGACTCATTCAAGCCAATTTTATATGTATTACAAATGAAATATTCCTTGCTGGAATTGGCAAGCTGTCCCCTTTTAAATGCATCTGCCAAGTCCAAATTTACTGCACCTTGATTCCAGATTACACTACACAGAGACTGCTCTCAAACGGATTTAAATATTGCAAGCTATTTCAAATGTGGACTGCATGTGAAAATTTAAGAGTAAAATTTGCACATCTAAAAGCATTCAGGACTGCAATGATCATATGCATTAAGTAGTATAACTGAAACCTTCTGTTGGTCCTACAACTATTCTGATAATAAATTGTGATACATGATAAAATAAAGCCCATGTAAGATTTTTGGATCCACTTAATTTAAATTGATTTAAATTAATTATAATTATAGATACTTTCCAATTACCCTGTTTAGGTGCGACATTGAACCCAAGTTTCCTGACTCAGAGGTATGGCTATGACCGTGGTTCCACAAGAATCCCTGTGACTGAGTTGAAAGAACCAACCTAAAATTTTACTAGTCCCTGCATTGTTATAAAACTCATTCCAGGTACAATTATGTTTTTATAGGTTTTACACAATGCATTAAGTTCAACAATAAATACAAAATAAATACTACTTAATAAAAGCAGTGATTTTTGGTTGATCCGCTTCAGGATACTATTTTGGGACATTAGTTGACTGGGGCTACACCTCTTGTGTTGTGCCACTGTCTAATGTTCTCTTTCTGTCTTCAGTCTTCTTTTCTTGTGCACTGAAATACAAAGAATCACCACTTTTTAACTCTTGCTTGCCATTAACTGCTGCATGATCAGAGATATCCTGAATTCTTTCCCTTAATAGTGCATGAACAGTTCATGATCAATCTTGGATTGGCTAGGAAGTGTCTGCTCAATTTCTGATTGGTTTCTTTTAAAGCCATTGATTACCTAAGTGATAACACTTTCTACTGTGTCCTGATTCATTCTTTGACATGCCAACCACTTGTTAGATCGCCTCTTACCTTACCAACTCCATAAATCTTTGCCATTATAAGGTGGCACCAGCAGAACAATTTAAGCATCTCCTTAGAATATATAGCGTCATCCCAAATGTCCTAACTGATGCATCTCCGTATCCTTCAAAAACATATCTATATTTCTTAACTAAAAGAACCATGTGTGACTCCACAATAATTGTTGCCTAAAATAAGTTCGCTGAAGTTATTTTCCAAAGATCATATTGGATTCTCTGCTTCTCCAAGTGATGTCTTACATACTTTAAGTAACAAAACCATTTAAAAACATGGCTATGTCCTTGAGGAAAGCATTGTACCTTGACACATTCTCACAGCTGCTAGTTTAAGTTTGCAATAACCTGGGCCATAAAAAATAATTGAGTTGTAACCTCATGACCTCACCTTTTATCTTTGCCAAAAGGCTTTCTTCCTTACAGAAACTGATTTATGACTAATCACACACAAACAGGATAATATTAAATACCTTTCTTTCTTGATTCAAAATGATGAATTCTTGCAAAATAACTTAATCCTACATGTTAATTACAATGATCAATAATAATTATGTTATCGAATGAACCTGGATCGAGCAAGTACAACTTTGTTGCAGATTTTGTCCCTCAACATGCACTTTACACTACACAAAATTACAGATGCAACGTAACCTGGATGTACTCTGGGCAAAGCAAAACTGAATCAAATCACTTGGAGCCATTTCTACAATGTTTCTCGGGCTCTCTGCTTCAAAAAAATTGTGGTGCCGAAACTGGTTCATGTGCTATGTGCATGTGTTTTGTTTTGTAAAGGAATTGCAGAAGCAGAATCAAGAGCTGGAATTTGATATCTCCCTGAAGGCGCTCTCTATTCTCCGCTACATAACTGATCACATTGACAGGTGTGTAACAGGATGACTGCTGGGTGCGGCAGATGCTATATTAAAGAAGGAACGCATTTTGTTAATTGGATAGCACTAGGCTGTTTGAGAAATTGTGAAGTTTCTTTTTAAAAGTACATTAATTTCGTGCTCATTAAGATAAGACATGTTAATACTCGAATGAAAGCATACCATATTTTGCATCGAAGCACGCCAAGTGTTTAACTTCGGAATAGTGCATTCAATATTTTTCAGACCCCAATACCTGTATAAGTTCTTCAACAGTGAGATGGTATGGTTTAATATACCAATTACACTCTCAGCATGTTTGAATAAGATGTTAATTTACTATTCTGTTTATTTATTAAATTCTTATGATCTGAACTGATGTTATTAATGGACAAGTTAGATTCCAGACAGGAACTAGGCCTGATGGGTCATATTTTGAGTTGTTTCAGTTTTAACAAAGTGCTATCTTGCTGAAACAGGTTATCTGATGGAGAGGTCCTACAGACAGGAGAAAAGTAAACAGTGTACATATTGAATGCTTAATATATCTACGGTAATGACTACACATGAAAGATGCTTTGTGTATGTCTCATTTTGGGAGATCCTGCAGATGTAGAATGCATTGTTTCACTAACAGATCAATGATATCAATTATCGAATTGATGTACGTGGGAGCTTTTTGTGTGCAAAATGGCAGCCACTTTCACCACAGTACAACACTGATTAAATTTCTGGACAATATTTAATCGACTGTTAAGTACTTAGAGATGCAAGTCTTCCAATATATGAATGCAAATTTTTTCTTTACTTTTGAATAACACAACCAAATTTTAACAGTACTTGCCCAATAAGTTAGACAAATATATATGCTCACATCTGTTTTTTTTTTGTCATATTTTGTTTTACTGTGCATTGTCTTTATGCGTAGCCTGCCATTGTGTGTTCAGACACGACTCCTGAATACACACAATATCCCCTGTGTGCTGGTTCATCTGCTGGAATATTGCCCCTGGAGCCGATCTGGTCCAAAAGGTATGTGCCTCTGACATTAGTTGCCACAAATGTGGCTCAATTTGATACATAACAGTGATTCAGTAGATTTTTTTCCTTATCATTTGACATAAATTACTACTATTTCTGGCGACAACTTAGCACAAAGGCAGGTCTGATCTTTGTTGGAAGTAAAGGGAAGCTGTTGGGATTACATATATATTAACTATGTGGAGAACTGGAAGATATTAATCTGTTTGGACACTTTCTGGAATTAAAAAAAAAAGTTTCATCGTCCTTAATGCGAACACATCTGCCTCAATGTTGCTGATGGTTACCACACTGTCACTAGATTGTTCTGTTACAGAGTTTGTGGAAAATACAGTTATAGTCATGATTTTATTTGTAGCTAAAATTACTGCAGACCGCAACCAATCAAATAGATGCAAACTATTAATTAATTGAAAGTTAATTTATTTTTGGAGATATATGACTAATTTCAATTTTTTTTCTGTAAAGTTACACATGCACACAAAAAATGTAATTGCAATGAGATGTACAACCTTTCATCAGTACCTGTGGTACATGAATCACATGGCCTGAGAACACTTTACAATGACTCAGGTGATCTTTGTGCAAAATGTCACTATGATCAGAAAGCAGATGGACTGTTCATAAGAAAACAGCAAATTCAGTCATCATGAGCAGGTGATGTTAGATAGTCTGCTGTTGTTTATGATACATTATTCTCAGTCTATTTTCTTCTGATTCTTGCTGAGACACAGGTCCACGAGTGAGGAGCAATTGCTGCCTAATGGAAACATTTGTCACATGTTCTCCAGAAACAAATTTCCAGCAAGTGTCACCAGAGAACTCTCTACTTTTCCCATGTTGCATGAGTTGCCATAATACCGGTTGATCACCCTTTATATCTACCATCAGATATGAATTTGATAGGTGTTTTTTGTAGTTTGATGCCCTTCTTGCAGCTATAGGAAAGATGTTGTTAAATTCATAGGATGCGGAAAAGATTTACAAGCATATTTCTGGGACTAGAGGGTTTGAGTTATATGGAGAGGTTGGATAAGCTGGAGCCTATTTCCCTGGTGTGTCTGAGGTTGAGGGGTGACCTTATGGAGGTTAATAAGATCATGACGGGCCTGGATAGGGTGAACAGCCTGGATAGGGTGAACAGCCAAGACCTTTTTCCCAGGGTGGGAGAGGGCTCAAGTTTAAGGTGAGAGGGAGACTATTTAAAAAGGACCTGAGGGGTAACTTTTTCAGGTAGAGAGTGGTGCATGTATGGAACAAGCTGCCAGAGCATATGGTAAAGGTGGGTACAATTACAACACTTAAAAGGGATCTGATTGGGTATTTAAATAGGAGGGGTTTAAGAGGGATATAGGCCAAATGCTGGCAATAGAGACTAGGTCAGATTGGGATATCTGGATGGTGCAGACGAGTTGGATTGAAGAGTCTGTTTCCATGCTGTATCATTCTGACTCCTCATCTAGCCAACCTACAGACTGGCACTGATGTATGCTGTCTTGCTTGCACTAGTAACCTGAGTTTTCTTCACTGCTTCCATGCAAGGCAAAGAATTTCTCTTCGTTCCTAATTTCCCATAAGATGGTGGTGAGCTGTGGTCTTGAATTGCTGCAGTTGGCTTCGTGTAAGTATATGTACAGACCTGTCAGGAAGGGTGTTCCAGCATGTTAACCTGATGATAGTGATGGAATGGTGATCCAATTCCAAGTCAGCAAAGCGTAAGACTTCACAGAATTGTGGCACAGAAGAAAACCATTCAGCTCATTGTGCCTGCATAGGCTCTTCAGACAATCATCACTACCTAGTACCAATCTCCTGTGTTTTCCCCATATCCTTGGAAATTATTTCTATCCAAATAATCATCCAATGCCCTCTTGCATGCTCAACTGAACCTGCCTTCCCCATATTTCCAGGCAGACTATTCCATATCCTAACTACTCACTGTGAGAAAGTTGTTTCTTCTCGCATCACCCTTGCTTCTTTTGCATGTCACTTTAAATCTATGCCATCTCATTCTTGTTTCTTTTAACAAGAACAACTTTACCTATTAGAAATAGGTTTTATTGTTATGTATACTCAAGTACAGGAGTACAATGAAAAGTATGTAATGTTGCCACACCCAGTGCCATCTTAGGTACAAAGTACCTCGTTACAAATCTTAGGTACTAAAATAGATTAGGTGCAAAAAAAGACAACCAAAGGAAAAATGCTAAAAGTTCTACATTACAGTTCTTCATAGTATAGATTAGTCAAATTAAGAAATAAAGTTAATATCTAGTGTATCCAGCTGGTTAATATTTTTGAAAACCTCTATCAAAACTCATCTGTCCAGGGAGTACTATCCCAAGTTCTTCAATCTATCTTCATAACTGAAATTTTTCATTCCTGGAACCATTCTTGTAAATCGCTTCTACGTTCTGTCTAATGAATTCACATCTCTCCTACAATGTGGCACTCATAATGCACACAGTATTCCAGTTAAGGTCAATCAGATGTTATTATACGAGTTCAACATCATCTTGCTGTTGTATTCTGTGCCCCTATTGATAAAGCTGAGGAGACTGGATCCTTTATTAACTGCTCTCTCCACTTGTCCTGCCATCTTCAATGATCTGTGCATATACATAGCCACGTCCCTCTGCTTGTGCATCCCCTTTAGAAATGTTGAAAGAAAACCTGAAAGTGGTGCTGTTCCCAAGCATCTGCTACCTTTATCCTTCTAGGTGGTAGGGTTTGAAGATTTGGAAAGTGGTATCAAAGGATGCTTGGCAAGTTGCTCCAGTGCATCTTGTGGAACTGAGATGATTTGCCTCTAATAACCACAGCCATCTTTCTTTTGCTGGCTGATGTCATATCCAATACAGTGAATTTTCCCTTTTACTGTCATTTGACTTCAGTTTTGCCAAGCCTCCTTGTTGCCACATTAGGTTAAGCTCTGCCTGGTTGCTGAGGGCAGACACTCTCACTTCGTCTTGAGTTCATCTGTACGTCCATGTATGTCTGTATTGATGTCAGGAGTCAAGAGGACCTGGCAAACCTAAACTAGGTCTCAGTGAACAAGTTACAGCTGTATAAATACTGCTTGATAGCTGTGGTAGTGAAACCTTCCTTCATTGGGACTTTCATTAGCTCGCTTGGATTTGTCCTACTTCTTGTGGACAAGTTATACCTGGGCAATCTTTCACATTGTTGGGTAGATGCCAGCATTGTAGCTATTCTATAACAGCTTGGCAGGGGTGAGTCTAGTGCTGGAATACACATCTTGAGCACTACTACTGAGATGTTGCCAGGGCGAACCCTTTGCAATATCCAGTGCCTTCAGCTGTTTCTTGACATTACATGGAGCAAATTTATATGGCAGAAAACTGACATCTGTGAGGATGGAGCCCTCGGAAGGAATTCACTTCCTGTGTAAAATAAAACTTCCTAATTGTAGTTTTATATCTGTTCATCCCAAAGATAGAGGAACAGGAATAGTGTTTGTAGACAGTACAGTAATAAGTAAAGATACTAAATTGATAGATTGGAACAGCAGATTGAAAAGCAGTAAACAATTAAGTAAGTAGGCAAAACTGAAAGAGTTCATTGTGGTGGACATGGTGAGGTCATTCATTTTTGATCAGAGAAAGACAAGTTCAAGTATTTTCTTAATGACGAGTTGAGGAACCATGGCAAAACAAAGGGTTTTGAGTATAAGTCATTAAGTAGAATGCATGGTTCAAAGACCTATAATCAAATAATCTATTAGGATATTGGCCTTTATCTCAAGGAAGAAGCAATTCCAAATTGTGGAAGTGATCCTTCAGTTTAGCAGAGCCCTTGTAGGATTAAATTACAAGACTGGACCAATGAAATTCATTTAAATTCCTTTGAGCTGAAAAGCTTCAAGGTTAATCATCCTGTTCTGAAACTATATTGATTCTTGTTAATTGTACAAATGTTGTACTGATAATTGATACTTTTATCTTACTGCAACATAAGTATCTCTGTTAGTTTCACATTGAACCATCAGGCCCAGTATTATTAATGTTGGCTCAATGAGTGAGTCACAGACTAAGCCACAAAGCTATGTTCTGTAATTGTTCTGCTTTGAAGTTGACTTCACAAATCATTGTGGTCCTACAGCTGAACTATAATTATTACTTTTAAAGTGGTGGTTAAAACAATAACAGTTTATGACTGGAGTTGAAGTTGCCAATTATTTATTTGACCCAAACTAATTGGTTGAGAGCTAAACACAAAGTCATTGTTGGGGTTCATCTATAAACATAAATATGCCATCATAAGGAGAATATTCTTTATTCCAATAATCCGGTGGTTAAGCTTTGATAATTCTTTGTTTTTATAAGCCATTCTGCTATGCTATCTTGCACGAAGACATGTGATAAGTTTATTTTTTTAAAAACTACTTTGTGATTCTTTTAGTTCATCTGCAAGCTGAAATCAGTTAAGAAGTGGAGCTCAAATCTTTTTTCCTGATATTATTTACTAGTGAATTTTAACTGAAATCTTTACTGCGTCAGATCAGTCTTCTTTGGGTCTGTTTGCACTCCAATAGGTGAACTGCAGAAGTATGCTGATGGCAAATGGCATACAGTTCCCACTGAGGACAGGCTGAAAATAACCAAACTGGATGGGCAGGTCTGGATTGCATTATACAATCTGATTCTGAAGCCTGACTGCCAGCAGAGGTATGACTTCAACAACTTCAACAAGAACCAGTTGCTAAAGGTATAACTTTTCAGACAAAGCTATGTTTGCCAGTTTCAATTGATGAATAGATTACCTTTTCTTAGGTAAAGAATCACTGAGTTAACTTAGCATTTTTTTGAATCTTTGCAATTTCATCCGTGCCCACTTCCATCTACTCCCAGGCTCTTCCTACATGTGTATATTGGATTCAAGATGTTTATTCTGAAGCTGTAGACCTTTGCATGTTTAATCTATAATTTGTGCTGAATTAGTTCACCTAAGTCAGAAGATCAGTAGTCATAAAAGCGCCTCAGTAGCCCTGAACCAGGAAAGAGAAAATATGCAAATTTGTTTGCTTCCCACAATAACTTTGCTGTATGTATTTCTAGCTATTAGTTCAAAGTGATCTTAAAGTAAAATGTACTCTACCAATGAGTCCACATTCTAAGGAAAAGCTGGAAAGGAAATTTGTCCAAGTTACACATTTTAAAATGTCGGCATTTTGTGTTGTCATTGATTTGGGATTTGTTTTATTAGGTTGATAAATTACAAATGTAATCCCATTAGTTAAGAAGGGGCAGGGTGAGGGAAATCAGTTGATTACAGACCTATATAATACAACTTGTGGGCAACGTATTGGAACCCTGTCATCAGAGAGAGAACAGTTGGAAACGTCGCCACTGATCAAAGAGGGTCCACATGTGTTTGTGATAGCTAAATGGATAAGGGAGTGCCAATGGATGAAATCTACATGCACCACTAGAAGACATTTGGTTGATGTTTTCTAAAGAGAACAGTAGGGCACTTGTGGTACAGTGATAGTGTCCCTATCTCTAAGCCAGGAGGCACAGGTTCAAGTCACACCTGCTCTAGAGGTGTGCCATAACATCTCTGAACAGGCTGATTAGTTAATATCTACAGGGAAATTGAGGAATTGCTCAGGAGCAAAAGCAGGAAGGACATTTTTGCATAAGGGTAGCAGAAATCTGAAAAAGATCTCTCTCCCTATCTTCCCTTCCCACTTCACCCATGTCTCTCGCTTGCTCTCTCGCCTCTGGCTCGCTTGCTGTCTCTCTCGCCACCCCCACCATCACCACCTATACATAGACGTATACGTTCACAAAGAGGTGAAGCATTTTGGAACACTTGAAACTTCCATAACAGCAGAATAATTGAATTTTGTTAAGATCGACTTGAATAGTAGAACAGACATAGCGGGCTGAATAGGTTCCTCTGTTTATGATGATATTGCATTTTTAATGAATTTGGGAAGCTAACTAAAAATGCTGTCAAATTTTCTCCAAATTTCATAGTTGCAGTGAGCTGTAATTGACAGCAGATGGAGATATTAGCACATCTTGTCAGCTGTGCTCTTGTACAATTCCTAGATTGTATTGCCTGTCTCAATAGGTTGAGTTTTTTTAAAATCAATCTTTTATTTGCTAATGCTGCAGTGGCTATGACTTTCTTTTAATTATTTGTACCAATTTGAAAAAGCTATATTAGTTACATATTGTCAATATATCCACTTCCTTTTTTTAAAAAAGATGAAATTTCTATCAAATATAACCATAACCCATAATTATAAAAATTATGACCAGGGTAGGTAATTAGACAAATCAAGTCTGTCCACCGTTCAATAATATCATGGCTAATATGATAATGCTCGTAACTCCACTTCCTGCCAGTCCCCATAACGATTGATTCCCTTATAGTTCAAAAATCTATCACAACTCAGCCTTGACTATCTTTGCTGGGGAAAGAGAATTCTAAAGAGTAACAACTGAGAGGAGGAGTTGAAGAAGAATCCCATTTTAAAAGGGAGACCCCTTATTTTTAGACTGTCTCCTACTTCTAGATTCCCCCGTAACCGGAAGCCCCTTAGAATTTTGTATGTTTCAATACAGTCACCTTTTGTTGTTCTAAATTCCAAAGAGTTTAGGCCAACCTACTTAACCTTTCCTTATAAGACAACCCCTTTTATTCTCCGGAATCAGCCTCGTGAACCATATCTTCTGTGAGAGTTTGATGGGCTGCTAAACCAAACTTCATGCAGCTGAGAATGATCCTTCAGGACTAGCATCAAAATACTACATAGGACTAGTCGTAGTAGAACTGTAGATTTTTCTTTAAAATTCCTTCAGAATGTGAACATTGCTGACTCGTCCAGTGTTTACTGTTAAGGACAATTATAGATGGACAAGATGTTGATGGCCAATATTTATGAAGAGTCCAAGGTCAATAGATTTTGATGTTCTGACAACATGTAACCGTGTGATAATTCTTTTTGTTCATTAGCTGCAAAGCTTCCTGACTGAAGTCGTCATTGACCAAATACCCAACTTGGTGGAGTTGCAACGTTTCCTGGGCCACCTTGCAATGACAGACCCACCTCCAGCAAAGAAAGATCTTATCTTGGAACAGGTCAATGGCAAACACTGCAATTAGAGATACGTTCTGACCTACCATAAATATAAAGCATTGAACTGTGTTAGCTCATACAAATAATCTCCCAAAGACATCTTAATGTCTAGAGTCTTGTTGCATAAAAACTAATTAATAATACCTGATATCTTCATCTTAATCTTCATTTTACCAAATTCTTGTCACAGTTCATGATTTGCCACATGAAAAAAATTATGTGAAACAGATTTAACTCCTGAATTTTGGGAAAGATAGCTCAAGCCTTTCTCTTGCTTTCTTTTCAAGAATAGGAGCAGGAGATTCATGACCATAAAATTTTTTCCCAACAGGAAAAGAAAAGTGGGGACAGAACGCTTTTGGGCAGTCTTTAAAGAATGCGTGTCCTAAATTAGAAGTCCTTGAGTGCAGAAATATCGGATCCAATTCATAGCAAGTCCTAAAATTCCTATTGCAGACATTCATTGGGATGTTATTTAGTTGAACTGTGCCTTTCTTATCCTCTTATCTGATTTCTTGAGTTTTAGGAAATTGTAGAAGAAATCGATTTTTACTGAATTTGTCCCATATGCCTGGATCGTTCTGAACCCAATATCCTTCCTCCTGATATTGCCTCTGCTTTCAGCATTGATATTGAACCTGAAAGCCAACGAAACCAAAGTTTTTAAATTGGCAAAAGCAATGAACTTTTAATAATCAGTCATTAATTAAAGAACATCAGACACCCTCTTTAGAGTTTTGAACTCAAGAATTAAGGCTGTGACATATGCAGTTCTCTGTCCTTGGTTAAATTATTCCCATTTCATCCTCCAATTCCTAAGTAATGATTGTGATCTTCCACAGGATAGCACTGTGCAATAATTCAGGTAAACTACCCAAAGAATTGTTGCATTATACGTACCAGAGAAGCTTCAGGTAATTGAAGATTAGTACACTGTCTGTATTAAACCTACTCTGTTAATAAGTGAATGTCTGTAGAAAAGAAATAGTTTGAAAGAAGATCAGCGTTCATACCAAACTGGAAGGGCCTGTCTCTGTGATACGTCTGCACTTAAAGTACCCTTTTGTTAAGTGAATTTTGGATTGCTATCTTTTAAAAAGGGAGACAAGTGAAATATGTTTTTGAATAATTATTGTTCAGCGACAGGATGTGTAAATAGAATCTTTTCCTGCTCTCCTCCAAGTTTTATGTGTCTCTTTCTTCCTTCCAATATTAGGTTCCTGATATCCGAAATAGGATCATTCAAGAAAACTTTAACAAATGGAAAGCCCTTGCAAAGCACCAAGTGAAAACAGCATTTAACCCTTCTGAGCAGGATTTGCGTGAACAAGCCCAGAGGTGAGTGAGTGCTTGTTTTCTCACTTGTGAATTCAAGACAAAGAATTGGTTTCGCTTGAAAACCAAATGGACGAACTTGGAGAAATACTAGGGACTATACTAAGAAGAGCCAAAAGAATTATCAGTGCTTATAATGAAAACAAATTCATTCTGGAGAGATTATTTTAAATTGTTAGAGTGGTATTAAAGAATTTGTTTTACATGTGGGTATGCCTAATAATAAATAAGTCTCACAAAGGCAGGTAGTCGTCCTCTGGTTCACGCAAGCCACACAAGAAAGGATCTGTTTTACCTTCTATATTACATTTTGAGTATTAAACACCCCAAACATAATCTGTAAGCTCTCTCATTTCTTTTTAAGTAACTTTTTTTTCCTCACTGAGGTGATGATATTGCTTTTAGAAAATGTATTGTTTTCCCATTGTAACCATACAAAGTTGGAATCAAGCAGCCCCAATTTCAGTACAGTATAGGTTAGATACAGTGATTTGATTCTCTGTCTATCATAGTCGAACAGTGCCTTACATGAAGTCTCAAGAGCACTCCCTAATATAACAATCTGGCATATTTATTTTCACATTAACCATTCTTGCATCACCCCTGAGAGCGATTTCCCCCCCTTTATTTGTTTTCACATAGATGTTGCTGGCTGGAACAGCATTTATTGGCCCATTACTAGTTGCCTTTGAGAATGTGATGGTAATCTGCCTACTTGAACTATTGCATCTTTGATGTAGGTAGACCTACAATGCTTTTAGAGAAGAATTTCTAGGATTTTGACCCAGCGACACTGAATGAAGGATGATATATTTCCAAGTCAGAATGTTAAATGGCTTGGAAGGGAATTTTAGGTGGTGGTGTTCCCATGTAATTCCTGCCTTTGTCCTTCTAGGTGTTAGTGATCATGGGTTTGGAAGATACTATCTAAGTAGCCGTAGTGAATTTCTGCATTGCATCTAGTAGTTAGATGCACGCTGCTGCAACTGAGAGTTTGTCTGCAACTCTCAGTCCGTGTAGGGAGTGGATCTTTGTGGATGTGGCGCCAATCAAGCGGGCTGCTTTGTCCTGGATGGTATCAAGCTTCTTGTGCTATTGGAGCTGCACTCATTTTACGAATGCAGCACCACAATACTGATACAGGCTCATGCCAATCAGTAGCTGGGCTGAATCCCTAAAACTCATCGCAAGATTCCGATACCCACCAAAACATTAGATTTGATTCGCACATCAGTCCTGGAAGTGAAATTAAAATCTGATAACCCTTTGCCTCCCCTGACATTTATACTTTATAACCCCTGATCAATGCCAACCAGGGGAAAAATGAATCTCTTCTACTAGATGAAATTCTGTTTGTAGCTGGCCAACTGTAAATAAACAGCATGTCCTAGTCACAACATCCCAACAAAATCAGTCTCACTGATTACTATTAAATCATAAAATATAGAGGTCAGACATGACTGAGAGAACATTGCAACATTGAGCTGTGGGAGATTTCAAATTCTGCTTAACTGAGGGTCTGAGAATTGTTAATGAATGGCATTGAAGTCAATGTACATACATCAACTATAGTCTCTCTTTTGGCTGTTCATTCCTTTACATAGATTGACAGAAACTTACAATCTGGATGTGATGGAGAATCTGATTCCAGATCACCCAAAATGTGGATTTTGTGGAGCAGAGGCAGCAAAACGGTGTTCCCGGTGCCAAGTTGAGCGGTACTGTCGGAGGTACGGAGCTAAAGACTCAATGGTGGATTCTTATTTGTAAAGCTTATTGCTATAAGAAAATAAGCAACTGAAAATTAATTAGAAGTCCCTTTTTACTGAAAGCTAAATATCATTTCCAGCTTTCAACCCTTCACACAATCTGTAAACTCCCTTTCCTTTTAAATCATTTTTTTTTTCCTCACAGAGATGAAGGTGTTTGTTTTACAAAATGTATGTTCTCCCATTGTAAGCATTTCAAGTTGGAAACCAGCATCCCCAGTTAAGTGCAGTGTGCTTTAGGTGCAAAGTGAAGCTCCCTCTTCCCTAGTCCAATTGCATGTTTTGATATAAATGAAACTTTGAGGAATGCTGGTTGGTCTACCCCACTCATCAACCCTTTCATGAAATCATCACCCAAATTCAACTACCCAAATGTTATCCTGTGCATATGAATGCAGCACCAATTCAAGCCCTATTAGACCTAGACAGCTCAACTTCATGGGTTGGGAACTTGTTCGGAAAAATAGAAAACAATTACTTCATTAGAGGCATACTTGGGATAAGATCATTTGAGAAAGCCATTGCTAAGCTTTAAGTGAAAATTATATTCCTATGAATCTGTATTCCAGCCCATCATTCTGTGACAACAGCTTATATTTATATAGCACCTGTTCAATTACAAAATGTCCCAATATCCTTTTCTGAGTAGTATAAACCCAAATTTGATGCAAAGCCATTCAGGGAATATCAGGAAAGACGACCACAAACCTGGAGGAAGAAAGTATGTTTCAAGGAGCCTCCTTAAGCAGGACGTCAGGGTGGGGTGGTTAAGCAAGAGAGCTCCAGAGTTTAGGTTCAAGGCAGCTGAGGGCACGGACACCAGTAGTAGAGCAATTCAAATCATAGGTGCTCAAGTGACTAAAATTAGATGTGTAATGTTATCTCAAGGTTGTAGAGCTGGAGGAGACAACACAAATAGAGACAGGCAAGGACTCTTGGGGATTTGAAATTGAGGTTGAGAATTTTAAAATCAAGGCATTGTTTACCTGGACCACTACTCATCATTAGGTCAGTGAGAGCAACGGTAATGGATGAATTGGATTTAGTGTCTGTCAGGATGCAAGAAGCAGAGTTTTGGATGACCTCAATGTTATGGAGCATAGAATGCAGGAGATCATACATGATTCTGTTGTGCAAAGTCAAATCTAGAGGTAACAAGAGCAGGAATAAGAGTTTCAGCAAGAGTTGAGCTAAAGCAGGCACAAAGACAGGCAGTTTAACAGCGGTGGAAATAGGTGGGTTTAGTGATGGTGGTAATATGAACTGGTAAAGGGGTCATCTTGGAAACAAATATGACATTGGCTGTGAACAGCTTGATTGAATTTCAGATAGATAACAGGGAAAGGGATGGAGTTAGTAGCTAAGGAGCAGCATTTGTAATTGGGATAGAAAAGGAGGGCACAGTGAGATGGAGGATGAGTAGGACGGCAGGATGATGTGGAGCATGAGTGAGTGTGTACAGTATGGTGGAGGGTGAGTGTTTGGGAGGGCAGGGTGAGGTGGAGGGTGAGT